TTCTTTTATTCGAATAATGATTTTTTTTTAATAAAATATCCGAATATTTTCAACCATATTATCATACCAATATGCTTTCGTTCTTAAATAAATTTGGAAATAATGAAGTGGTATGAGATTGAGGAATAGTTTTTCAATGTTGACATGCAAATTACAATTGTATTAAGGTGAATGTATCTCAAACTCTCTCTCTTTACATTATACAAATACATTTTTATTCCAAAAAATAATAAATTAGACTAATTATAATATTAAATTTAATAAATTTAACTTAAACTTTAAACCTGAAACTTTAATCAATATTTGGCTTCTTGTTCCAAAAAATCAAAAAAACTTTAGATAATTTTTAAACTAATAATGACATGCTATGCATGTCATTAAACAGAATTAATACTATATAAATTGAATGAAAACGTTGTAAATGTAAAATAATATGTATATGAAAATATAAGAAATGTTCGATAAATGGAAATGAAATAATATTGAACTCATACCATGATTTCAATTTCAATGTAAAATAAACAAGCCCATAAAACCCCCATACCTTTCCATCCAACATACAAATTATATTCACCTACTAGCTATTTTCAGTTACTAAAAATTATTCAATATTATTATTTATACATATGTGCGTGTTATAATGGCCGATTTGTGGAAGCAGTTTTAATCCTCTCTAAGCATTTTCAGTGAAATTCTATTTTCAAATGATGGATTTAAGCCGATTATTTGCCTAAAATATTCGCTCTTGTTTTGCCAATGGTACTGACAAATTTCACGGCCATAATCAAATAGGCAACTTAATTACTGGTCTGGCACTTTCAAGGCTCTTCCTGACACTGGCTATTTCAATTGTAGGACATCCTTTCGCAGCAGTTTCATTTGAACAATGCTATTGTCCAATCAAATATCGTTAGGATTAAAATTTCAAATTTTGAAATGTTAGTACCATTGTGCACATCACAAATTTAAATGACTGAGGAGAAGACTTGGACAGATTGCTGCCTACGCTTCTTCTCAAGTAAAAACAATTCACCACCACCACCACCACAGCTTTCTCAATGGTTTTTGGGCTTTGATTTAATTACTTTCTAGCCACTGCCTCGAAGTTTCCAATAACAAAATTAATTCAATTTATAAAGGATTTTGCAGATTTTAACAATAATAACATAGGAAAATTTTATTGAAATAAAATTTGCAAATATTTATAACTTAATAAATTAGTTATATACATAGATATTCGTCTGTATGTCATTGTCTTGTTAACAGGAATTAAAAATAAATATTATAAAGAATTCCTAAAATTTGATTTCTCTGAATTCATTTCCTTTTATCTGAATGTGAATGTGAAGCCTCTAATATTTAAAGCTTTTAGATTAATTAAAAATTCCTTGCAAAAATATCTTTTTGATTCCTCAATTTTTAATTGTAAACTATTCATTTGAATATTACGTATGGTATATTACCATATCCAGTGAATATGACTTCTTGCATTGAACCTTGAACTCTTTCTGAGACTTTGACCTTAAATTTCTGTTCATACATACTTTTTCAGTGAAAAGTCAAACGCAACCTCACACAAAGTACGCCGAAAAAACATTACCGGTTGCTCGCGGCGTATGAGCGACGTCAGTAGTTAGCCTCTTTGACTAAAACTGGTGGCTAAGAGCTTACAACTGAACTGCAATAAAAAAGTCTATAGTTTATAGAACTTGTTTAGTTTTAACTGCGAGAATAATTAATTAAGTATTTAATGTTTATAAAATTTATTAGTTCAGTTTTAATACATTCACTTTGCAACTTGTAATTAAACTGACGTTTCTAAGGCATTCGTAATTAAAATGAATTGTAATCAACTTATGATAATTAAGCTAATTAAAATTCAGAAGCACTTATAATCATATTACAGATTTCCTATTATATTTGTTAACTATATACGCTAACGTTTTCACTTAGACTTAATCACTTGTTTTTATTTATTTTTTTTTTAATTTATTTATATTTTATTAGTGAATTACTGTTGCTACGACTTAGCTAAGGTCATTTCATGACTACTGAATATGATTTGATAAACTTCAAATCACAAACTTTAGTCTAAAAACAAATCCGTGAACTTTCTGGAGAAAAATATAATATAACCTTATATTTTTTTTGTTTTTGTTTTTTAAAAATTACAACCACAAAATTCTTATTTTTAAATAATTGCATTTTTGACTGACTACCCGTTTCGAGTAAAACCAAATATTCACCACCAATGATATTTTTGGAAATATTTCTTATTAATTTTTATACAAATAAATATTATATACTTATTAAATTTATAACTTTATATTATATTAAATATATTTATTATATAATATATAAATATATATTTCTATTATATTCTTTATTTAGACCAATAATTTATATTTACTTATACTTATAGTTGCACCCTATCAAATTCAGAGCTCAGAGTCAGTGTTCTCTAGCCAACTGACCCAATGCCGTAGTCAACTTGTTTGTTCTAACTTGTAATTTAGAGAATTATTTATAATATTTTATTAATATTATTTTTTATTAGATAATATATAAATATATATTTCTATTATATTCTTTATTAGGACCAATAATTTATATTTATTTATACTTATACTTGCACCCTATCAAATTCAGCGCTCAGAGTCAGTGTTCTCTAGCCAACTAACCCAAAGCCGTAGTCAACTTATTTGTTCTAACTTGTAGTTTTGTTAATTTGCTGTGAAAGTTCATTAACAAATTCACTTACTTTGTTCTATTAGAACAAAACCATAAACCAGCTTTAGAAAAATTGAATTAATTAATTACAGTTTTTTTTTTCATTGTTAAATTTTCAATACTGTTCTTTTTATACAAACATTATTTATTGCATATTTTTATATTATTCTGATTTTATATAGATCCGTGTTTGTGATCTTATATCACAGTACTTATCAACAGTACTGCTATATATGTGCTAGTTTGAGGACTTATTGTCTGATATAAGACTTCAGGTTTAACTATATTAAAAATTGGGAGCAACAGAACTATATCCTTTTAAAGTTAATAAAAACGTCCACTAGGTCCACTAGAGAATATTTGGTTGTAAAAAAAAATGCATGTTCTTGTAAAATCTCTTTCAACTATAACTATATCTATATAACTATATAACTATAACTATATAACTATATCTTTCTACTATAACTAATCAGCCAATGTATGAACTATATCACTGTTTTAATAAAAACCTGCAAGATCCCCTTTTTGTGTTAATTACTATTTTTTCGGTTGTTAAAAATCGTTATCTATTAAAGAAATTTTGGAGATGGGAGTAGGTCTCCCTCTAAATTTCAGAGAGTGGTTAATGTGGGGGATAATCTTGTTATTGTAGCAATTTATACTTTACTCACAGCTGCATCATCTCTATGGAACAAAATTTTTTTTCAAAAATTTTTTTATAATGTTAACAAAATATTCTTCTGTATTTAAAAAAAAATGATTTCTCTTCTATAATTTTCTATATTAAATATATATCTCTATATTTATATAAGTACTGTTCACATTTACATTTTTTTTAAATTAAATATATTCTTCTATATTTAAATACGTACTATTCTCAGTTGAAATCTCTCTATGAAAAATAATTTTTTTTTCTATATTTAATTGGTCTAAAACTCACAATAATAATCTGAGTTTATTATTTTACCTATTTGTTGGATATAGTTTTTCAACGAATATCAATTCGGAGCTGAAAAGGCACTTTTTTTTGAATGGCATACAATGGCATACAAATGTTTCCGACAAAGACACATTCTAATGTGTTTTGATCCATTGAAAATGGATGAAACATCAATTGTACATAAAACGTTTTGAAAACCATTGATTTCATAGTCTTCCTTTGCTTAAAAGCAATTTTGTCTTGATTTAACTGCCCATTTTATAGTGATGTCATCCATAATAACGAATACTCTATGTTTTGATGAAATCAAACTCACTCAGGTAATATGTTTAATAGAAATCTGTACCTTTCTTACCAATACTTGCAGTTTACTAAATTATGAAGAAGGCTTTCAGCTTCTACCGAATTAATTAAGTTAGATTTTAAAAATATTCTACTTATAGAATAAACTTACCTACTAAACTACGCTGACACTCTACTTGAAACCCCATAAATGCTAAAAATGAAAGAAAAGTTTACAAAAAAATCTGTAGGGTATATCTGTACAAAGTTTATGTTAAAAAGTGCTACCTAACTGTACTAAAAAATTACAATAATAGAAATCTGTATTTGTAGTCAGTAATCTGAAAATGTTAATTTAACTAATGTTAATTAGCTAAATTTGAAAAAATAAGACATAAATAAATAAGGTAATAAAAAGAGAACAGTGCTACCAATTAACCAAATTTCACAGTGTATAGAGAAAGAGTGGCTCCGAAGAGGTACTAAAAAATTAGTTCCGCAATTAATTTTGTTAGTTTTATTAACAAAATTTTAAGTATATTCTCCTATTTATTATATCATTAGCCAATTACTATATATCCGTGAATTATTTCACTTATTAAAATTTCGATATTTTGGTTTCTACTAAGTGACCTACTTTCCGAGATTTGTTTCATGTAAATAAAATATAATCTCTTTATAAACTAAAGCATGCATAAATCGTCGAAGTCGTCGTTGGTTGTTGGTCTTTGGTTCAATAACCTATTCAGGCGGTAAATAAAGCAGCGCTGCTCTCAGTCCAACCAAAATTTTTCTATGGAGGTTATCAAGCATTTTCCAAGGCAATGTGCAAATTTCGTACCATTTGACATTTTGCAATTTTGAATCTTTTGTTTAGGTTTTTTGTTTATTAGCTCAAGAATAAAAAACGAAAAAAAACTAATCCAAGCAATTTTCTTGCTTTACATGACGTATTGCTTATTAAATATCTTCTGATAGTTTTTGTTTTGCATTATTTCAAAGTATCTTAATCTAGTAACTTAATTTTTTTTTTCTTCTGCTGTTTTAGGTTGTGCATGGAGTGCAGATTGAAATGGAGGAATCGCTACCGCCAAGCCACAACAGCAGCGCAGACAAAGAAGGAGCGGCTCATAGACTACACAAGCGCAGCGTCGGGGAACAGCCACTGCGGATTTTGTTATTCTACGATGATTCTGTTTACAAGTGAGTTTACCTTAAGCTCGAATTGAAGCACGTAGTTGATATACGTAATTTGTATCTCTTAGATACAAATAAATAATTCATAGCGAAAAGTATCTGTATTAAAACAAACTATGAAGTAAAAACAACTTAAAATTTCAAAATGTGGAGGAACACCAGCACTCAACACACATTTTAAATTAAATAAATTTTATAATTAGTATTTGTTTTATTTTTTTTTTTTTTGTTTATTTGTTGGTTTTTAGTTGACAAATTTTTTTAAATGACATTTTAACGAGTTTTTTGCACTTTGAGTGTTTAAAGGTGATTTCGAAAAAAAAATATTTAAACTTGAATTTTTTTTTATGACTTTCCAACACATTAATCCCTCTTTTTACTTTAATTAAATATTATTTTTGAACGTACGATCTATTAAATTTTATAGCGTTAATTATTAATTAAAATTTTAAATTTAAAATCTATTAAATACATTTCTATGCTTCAATTCAGTTTGGCTGAAGCAGACAGTATAATTATGAAAAATAATTGTAATTAAATTTAATTACGTTTTTTAACTTGTTAATAAGCGCTAAATGCAAAATATTTAGCGTTGAAAGCCATAAAATGTCAAATGATTCACACAAAAGTTATTGCCCAGACCGCCTCGATTAAACGGCATTGCGTCAAAATTTATATTGGAACAGGGTCATTGCTTGGTGAACATTTGCTTCCTTGAGTACGAATTCAATTGCAAGTAAATTTTAGATATAATGCAAGTACCTATATTTAATTTGGTTTTCCCCTATTTCATTATTGACTCACAAATGTTCAAGTTTTGTAAAGTAAATAGTGGCCTCTATAAATAGAGTTAGCAGATCACAAAGAAATGTCATTCGTTGCATCCTTGAACTTTGCTAAACATTTATCCAATAAATCTCGGTACTCGAAAATGCATTTAGTAACTCAGAAAGTTTTGAGGTCGTGGTGGTTTGCAAAACTTTCACCACTCAAACGTATCAAATTATTTTCTGTTTACTCATCTCAACCCTTGATGAGGATAGTTAACGTTTCAGTAGATTTGAATCGAATATTTCTATGAAAGCTAAACTTACATTTACTTTAACGTAGACCAAAACCAAAAGAATACTAGAATTTGTTATCTAACTCTAAATTAATTTCATAAGCATTGTAGATATATGGGTGTCTACAATACATCGTTAACAATAATAAACTATTGGAAAGCTATAAAATATTGTGGTCGTACGAGTATTTTTGATGAAGAGTGTCTGAGTCGTCCAAAAAGAGGTCACAACTTAAAAAAATTGAAAAAATTCACGATATTGTGTTGGATAATCCAAAAACTAAATTACGTCAGATAGTACAGATGACAAACATATCATATGAACATGTAACGAATATTTTATATGAATATTTGGGTTTGAAAAATCTTCTGGCAGGATTAGTGCCGCATTTTCTCACAATTGACCAAAAACGACAAGGACTTCGACATTCAAAACATTGGAAACATGGATCCTTTGCTTC